TTTATAAAAGTGCTGCAATAGGTTGTACAAAATAACCTGAAAAGCCTATAATAACTAGATAGGAAAGTCATGTGTTGGATACATCAGATTTTTTTTGTATAAATAATAGTACCTACATAAAATACTTTTCAAATACCCTAACCTTAAGTAATAGCATATAATTTTAATCACTATTACTTCAAACATCAAAAAAATAGTTCTTTTGCTGTTGGAACGAAGTATTGTTTTAATTTATTAAATAAACATATTTCACAATTCACTATGGTGTACTCGTACCTACATTTCTCGTCCGGTGCGGAAAAAATGCTACCACATATTCCTTAGGCTTAAATATGACGATCTAACAGTCCAAAAGTGGATGATTTCGGAAGTGTGTTAAAAGTTCAATTTGTTTTTAGTTTTCTATAAATAATTTTTTACTTTTTACTTTGTTTTTTTTTTTCTTAAATCTCTTCAAACATACAGAAATAATAACAATTTTTTTTATATCTCTATTACTAAACTTTCTTTAGTTAATTCTTGTAGAGACGAACTTAATTGTAATGTGTAATGTGTTCCTAGAAGCTTCATAATATTGCCAAATTATATTAATAATGGTTTTAAAAAATATGTCAAGAAAATGAATTTTGACACACGTACAGAAACATTTAAAAAAATTTAAATTAAAATTTACTATGATTGTGTACTTACGTTTTGTTTTATTCTGTTTTTTTTTTTTGTTTAAACTTAAAGCTAAACAATATTATCAGGATTTGATAAAAATACCCTTATAATGTTTTTTGGCTGTCTATGCCATAACTGTCTTATGATCGAATTATGAAAGAATTACGGTAGAAGATTATTCTGATTTATTTTAATTGTTTTTATGTTAATTAATTTTAATTAGAAATAAGATTTACTATTAGTACCTCCGGTAAAAATATTTCAACTACAATTGCCAATAATTTACCAAAATATGTTTAGAAATGGAGTGGAGACTACACGGAATTTGATTAAAAAAAGTATTGCGCCTGCTTGTCGTCGGTATCGCGACGCCTATATATATTTAGCGTCGCGGACATCACGATGCTGCAACTGCTGTTGCGCCTCCAGGAAGTTACTCCACACGAAGACGCAATGGTCGCTCCGTAGTTAGGATAACATTAGATCGAGGAGGTGTTCATTAAATATTACACCGCTATTTTTGAATTGATATATCCCGCACTTTTCTTATGCGAATGGAAGCACCGACAAACTGACTAAACTTTTGTTACAGTACTCGATGAATTGATTTAAAGTCTACACGGGCTCATTCATATCATATGGCTAAATTTCGACATACAGGGAAATGAAGTTAAAAAATATATTTTTTTTAAATGGATACCAACAAGACTCTGACTAATTTATGCAGATAAAATACATTATTAATAATAAAAAGCAAAATATTGTTACTTACAGGGTGATTCATGCTTTCACAGACCTGTTTTACTACAAAATGAAACATGGCATATCATTTAATCGTGAAACGACAGCAACAACCCCACCCGAACCTTCTTGAAATGGAAGGCAATTAAAATTTTATAATAACAAATTTTGTTATGTTTTCATATTTATATCTGATGTATCTCAATAGATGATTTTTCACAAAAATAGTAGCTGTCATCAAATATCTCCAATATGGTCCATTATAGAGACGTCATACATATTACCAAAATTATACATAATAATATCATAAAAAAACTTTTATACTGTCATGATATTCCTAATACGATCCGACCCTGTATACGCACGCAATCAACTCGTGACCGAAGCAACGCTGACGTGTGGAAGCAGCCGGACCGCTCTCGAATATCTGCCGCTGATTCACTCGAAACATCTGGAATGACTACCGTTTAGTCATCTTCGCGAAGTCTCTAGCATTTTCCAGTAGCGGAGTTAGACTAATACAAATAGAGGACGTATCAGCGCCGAGTTTAGTTTAATATAGAACGTTGTATTGAAAAGTAAAAGTGTAAGAAATAAATTAGAATTGTTAGTTAGTGTTCAAATATTATATAAATTCAATAGTACGTCTGAAATAAATTGTAAATAGTGTGTTTTTAAATAAATAAACTTTAAATAAATTAGACTTTCGTCACAATACGAAGAATTTTCTTCTCCAATCATAAATAAAGGTCAATCTAGCAGTTGCATAAAATATTTCTGGTATATTGGCAACAAAACAAAATTTATGATTTAAAAAATAAACTCTAAAGAAATGATTTGACATTCTAATATTTAAACAATAAAGTAATTGAAAGGCAGTTAAAAGTTACTTTTGAGATATACATGGTATCTGCAGAAGGAGGGGCGGTTACTCCGTTCATTCATTTATGCAGTTGAAGTTCATAAAAAGAATTTATATTAAAATCACATAAATAACATGATAGTATAAATTCAATTTTAATATTTTTATTATTTTCATACATTTTAATCTCCATTTTTTGGTACGACACTATGCCCTGGCTGGAGGTTGCTTCTCCGTCAGTGCACTATGCTGATTAAGCGCGAGAGGTTTCCGCAAATGCCTGTTATTAAAAAGAGAGGTAATAGGTCCATGAAACAAACAATTTGACCGCTTTAAACCACGCTATTTTGTGCATCGCACATAAACAACGCGTGACGTCACTAAGTGAGGCGGTGCATACGAACTACGAACCTTTTCAAACTCTAAACATATTATTAAATCCCCCATAAGACAACTTTGATTGTGTTTATTTAAAAATTGTGTTTAAATAAGAACTGTGACTTTAATAAATCGGAAGTACGTGTGTCAATTCAAAGATTGTTACTGGGAAACGTCTCCAAGCATAAAAATTTTTTTTGAGGTTATGTTGTTTGCTTACTTATAATTTTAAACAATAATTTAATTGTTATGTATATTTTGTTTTTTGTTCCAGTGTCTACGACTACTTCAGAATAGTCATAAGTTTTGTACTCAACTGTAAGTACTATGTATGCAGTGAGAAATATCGATTATTTTTTCCTACAAAACCTGTTGAAAGAATTACTTTGATAACTACTTCGCTGCAGAAGTAGAGAAACTTATAATTTATAAACTTTGGTTATAGGAGAAAAGATAGAGAGACATCAATTGTTTTGCAGTTGTCACTTTACAAATGAGGAAGCAGAAGCTGAAGCAGACATACCTCTTTAGACAAAATTATAAAATGATGTGTTTTTACTCTGTTATTTATTAAAACATATAATTTTTAGTAAACATGGACTCAATTGTGCAGTCCTTCATCAGCAATGGAGGCAGGACAATAATAAACGAATCAAGAGTACTTTGGAATATGATGTGTGCTCTAAAATTCACGTAAAAAGGGTTATATTCGCCGTTCCGGTAGAAATGCAACACTCTCAACAATTGAGTTAGGTCAATCATTAGTCTTAAAAAATATAATATTATGGTATATCCTATTTAAAGAAACTCCTCTTTGACTTACTTATAGGTACGACATTTTCAAAGTTTTAACTATTTATGCAAAGTTTTGGTGAAACAAAGAAAATCCGTATTTGTTTTTTGAAAAATTTTACTGTTTGCAGTTGTGCCACTATTCTGCCGTACAATAAATAAAGTCTATTAAAATTGTTTGACGATGTAACAACAATCAAATATGTATAACTATTTGCAGGATGTTTTGCGTTAAAAATATATAAGTTTGGTCAGCTCTTCGTTTACGGACCACCCTGTATATTTAATTTTTTTTTTTAAATCGTCAGATAACTTTTATATTAATTTTTTTTGTATTTCCAATAATAAAACAGATATTGATTAATTACGCACTGATGGGACATCCTGTATATGTGTTATTGGCTAACATGTTGGTATTATTGGATAGGTAAATTTATATTAACAATAATTTATAATAATATACAGGGTGTTGCCTTTGAAAAAATTGAGTAAATTAAACTTAAAATTAGCCATATGTTTTAAGACACTCTGTATAAAATAAACCAGTTCTCTCACCACTATTCGTTAGCTTAATATCGTATAAGTCTGTGTTTTAAACAATTTTGAAATCATTGTAAACCTACCTAAATTATGATAATTTAATTTGGGGTCTGCATCATTCTCTAATTTCATAAAAAAAATGTATTGCTTGGCAAAACAGCAATATTTTTTAAAAAACATTATAGAGTTAAATACAGTATTACCAAATTGATCTAAAACTGAAATAAAAAATATACATATTTGAGAGACAAAAACGCAACACCTTGTATATCCAAAACTATTTTTAAAATGCGTATTTTTTAATCCATATAACTTTTATTTCATGTCAATAACACAACGTTAAATATTGAACAATTACGCACTAATGGGACACCCTGAATATTTTTTTTATGCTGAAAGTAAATAAAATTCACTTATTCTACTTATTTTTATCTTTTTTCATTTTCAACTTTCGAAGAGGCTATTTCATTATATTTTAGAATTATTCCAGTTTTTTATTAATTTATTAATTTTTGTTCATTAATTTTCAATAATTTATTAACTCCACCACTATTTTTTAATTAAAAATTAGATTTGTTTATTAATTTACAAGTATTGTACAAATAATTATTGGGATAAATGAATTCAGTAAACGGCCTAGCTCGTTGGGTATATAACAAACTCAATAATTAACGTTGTATATCTTTAAATTTATATTCTAAAATAACTATTTGTGTATTGAGAGCAGAAAGTAGTAAGTACGTTGGCAGTTGCGACAGAAACTAGCCTCGCGACGCGTTAGCGGAGCGCGGCAATCTGTCAAAATTTCCAAAGGACTTTCTGCTTGAATTACACTTCGCCTACGGCGTCGTGCCCAAATTTCGTCTTCGTGCGATATGGCCATCATATCCACTCTTGTTGCACAAACTACTATTTTGCACTGTCTATGAGAGAATACTAATCTATTTTAAAATCTACATATAGTTTAATAAAACCCTCTATAAAACAGACTTAATAATAATAATGAAAGATGTTTACAACTTACTACTGGGGTGAATTTTCTATTGAGATTGATTCTAATTTTCGCGACGTAAAAATGAACAGCAAACGGTGGTACTTCGGTATTCCATTCTGTCAGGGTCAACTCTTTGCAGAGCGTTTTCGAACCCAACCAATAATCGTTTCCAAACAAGAATTGTCCTGAGTATCTTCCAGAAGCATCGAACACTAAAAAGAAAAATGTAGTGCATGAAAAAGTGGAAAATCATTTTTTGAAGTGAAAACTTCTTTTAGCGCGCCTTGCATAACTTTTCTCCCGAGTTGAGAATGAACGCTCGGCTTATAACGCTCATTCGGGTAAACTCGATTATATTTATTACATTTCAGTGTTGATAAAAAACATTTCGATTTTAAAAATTTTGAGACATCGTAATATTTGTATAAACCATTTTGTTGGACTCTTAGAGAGAAATTTAAGACCTAAACCTTATCTTCCTAGTTTAAAAGGTAGACGATATATTTAATAAAAACCCTTATATTTGTGTTAAAAACATGTTTAAATGTGGAACCATTGGATACATTTCAGTCTATGGAAATGTAAATATAAATAAAATACATAAATTAATAAACAGCAACAGCTAACAATCAGACATTCTATACAAAATTTTATATATTTGAGTAGGTGTATTTGCAGGGCCGACTAGAGGGGGGGTAGCCAGGACTAATTCCCGGGGCCCGGACTGAAATGGGGGCCTGGCAGCGGTATAAGGGGGGCCCGGCAACAGATATTTTTTGTTTTGTATGAGAAATTCGACACAAAATGAGATAAATAGATAAATCAAGTATAGTAGGAAAAGTTTTTGCTTGCAGCCCTTTTTTTTTATTTTAGAAAGACCAATTGAATTTTAAGGAAAAGTTTTTGTCTGAAAACCTTTTTTTGGTTACGGAGCCCAGTTTAGAGAATTGTCCTGGGGCCCGGCCTGGCTCTCGGCGGCCCTGTGTATTTGAGTGAACTTTAGGAATGTTAACGATATAGTACTATTTTAGGAATATGTTCATGGGCATTTTGTTTCAGTCAGTACCCTATATCTAATAACCTTTCACTACCAACCGATTCTTATCCACTTTAATCTGGTTAATATGTTTACTAGAAAATGTAGCGAAAAGTAGCACATTCTACTGGTGCAAACAACAAAAATGTACGTTATATAACAACCGGTCTAGTTTCTTAACCACTATAATAATATTGTTGCTATACTTATACCACGATTTTCAGGCTTTTAATGTGTCAAGTAGAAAGTATTTAGCATCTTTATGTGCTTAGAACCCATACACCGGAATAATGCAGTCACGTAAAGTTATTGGATTTAATTATATATGTTCTTATAATACGCATTTTATGAATTTAATACTAAGGAAAAAATCGCAAAAGTCTTTGGTCAAATTTGGCCTTATCCCAAAGAAATAAAGGATTTAATACAAAACAAAAGAAAGACTCAAAAAGAATGGCAAACATTGATAAGTAACTACATTGACTACACAACAGTTATGCAGAAAGATAGAAAAATCAAAAATTAGTCAACCAAAAAAAACCTTATTATGGAAAGCTGTCTAAAAATTAAACAAACAAATCCACAAATATCCCCAATACGACCAGAAAATGGGATGTGATCATCAAGAAGTTACAAACAAGAAGTTGATGCTTTCGCCAACTATATAGAACGCTTCTTCCTTCCAAATCTAGGACGTCTCACAGGCATATGTACTTAATCCGGTATTATATTATAACATTTTAGATATAGAAAATATAAAATTATCCGCATTCGCTGGCTTAACCATAGAATTAACTATAGAAAAAAAAAAACACCTTTAGAGGTACCATTTCGGAACGCGCTACAGACGACATACGTAGCAAAAGCGACGGCAAAGGAGACCAAGAACGATCTTTTCACGTCTAAACATATGCAATTATATAAAACACATTTCGCAAGGCGCAACCAGTGCGAAAGACAGAAGTCTACGATAGGTAGATCGGTCTCGGGGTAGAGCTTTTGCTGCCTGTCACGCTCAGTCCTCAGCAGGGTTGCCAATCTGTGAGTAATTCCTCACATTTGTGAGTAATTTACTAGTCTGTGAGTAATTTTGTGAGTAAAGGGCAATTGTGAGTAATCGGGAAGTCAGCGTGGATATATTCATGGTAGTTGGCAAAATCCTGATCGGATAATTTATTAAACCCGTGTTCTTTTTAAAAATTTTAATATAAGCCTAATTTTACCCCCCTAGCACTTTTAGCAGTCATTACAATTTTGTAGTTTTAAAATTGCAGCGTCCTCTATTGCTTGGTCAATGTAATAGAGTAAAAGTGATTAATCGTCGATTAATATCTTTTTTTTGGTCATTTTAAAAGTATATTTTTTTATTAGTAGATTTTATTTTTAAGCATTAAAATTAATGATTTATTATGATTTGGCCTGTTAATAAAGAAGATACTCTAATTCTCCCATCCTTTTTTTCTGGGTTTTTTTTTTCAACTGATGACAAAGATGTTTTATATACAGGGTGATTCATAACTATTGGGACTATTTGTACCAAAATATGGCAATAGTGCTAAATATTGCTGTGAAATAAGATACAGGGCGTTAAATAATAATAATAGTAATAATAATAGACTATAATCTAACAGCAAATTATATGATACTGCAAAGCAAACTTTTCATAAATGAAATATTTTGTGAGTTGATCAATTGCGTTTTTCTCGAAAACGGGTGAAATTTTCTAATAAAAAATACTAAAAAGTTTCGTAAAAAAAACGACCATCATCAGGAATCATTCACTTGGCGTCTCCTTAAAAAATGTGAAATAATATATGTCGGATATCGGATATTTAGGGCGTCACCGTCAGACATTGTTATGACAAAACACTACATTTAACACTTGTAAAACTTGTTAATGCAATATAGAACAATTAACAATGTTGACAACACTTTAAACAACGTTACACAAATAATTATTAAAGAAATATGGATAATTATACGATATCAATTATTAATCAATTAAAGAAATGATACTAGCGATCCGGAGCCAGCCACACTTCTCTAATCTCTGTTCTCATTCCTTCTTTTCTATCAACATTCTGCTGGCTCCATTCCGCCCCCCTTGCCCCTTACTATGAAAGGCAAGTGTATATCATTTTGCTAAGTCATCACTTATAAAAATCAAGTTAAAGCTTACAACTTATCTTGAAATACCGACTACCAATAAATTAAACTTCTTAAAACAATAAACAAAAGTTAAACATCAGCGCCGCCGACATATATAAAATATCATTCCTTGTCGAAAAATATGCCTTTGTGCTAATTCATAAATATACAGTGACATCAGAAAAAAACAGGATTCAAATTTAACGCCCTGTATATTATTCCACAGCAATATTTTATGAAGGTATATTTGGTCCTATCGCCATATTTTTGTCCAAAGAACCTGCCCTTAGTCTATATCCTAATAGTTATGAATCAACCTGTATATTACTTGTTTATTAAAATAGTGAATGCACAGAAAAAAAGGTGCATCTGTTTTGAAAATTTCTCTTTTGATGTTTGGCAACATTGCACAGTAGTAAAATAAATTCAAACAAAAGTGCAAGAGTACAAAATATACGATTTATATAAAAAAACTAGTAATATTGATATTTTGAAGTTGTGAGTAATTGTGAGTAATCCGGAAAAGTTTTTGAGAGTAAATCGGTAAAGACCGGTTGGCAACCCTGGTCCTCAGTCATCGCTTGTATTTCGAGGTGATTAGTCGATATTTTATAGAAATGGTAGTTGCAAAGTTCTTTCGATCTAGGCGGTGTTGCCAGATAAAAATTTGCTGGAACAGTATGGATAAAAAAAAACGTAGATCTGAACAATAGATTTTAATACATGGGGAAATAATTATAATTTGCAGTGTAGTAAATAAAAAAAAACAAGTATATAAGAAACGAAAAATAAACATTTTCTACCCAAATTATAAAGTAAACAAAGAATAAAAATAAATAATAACATTTTTAATATATACTTAACGTACGGAACCAAAAAAATAATAGGTATTTCTTTTAGATCAGTCTGAATCAGATAATTCAAATACATTGTGTTTGGCATGCATGTTCTTTTTATGATGCCTTATTAATTATTTGTTGCATTTTAAATAAAAACATAATGATAATCTTAAGTTTTTTTATGGAGCAAGCCTACAATAGTGGCTGCTTATTACGTTGCTTTTACTTGAGCAAATTTACTAGAGAAAATATTCTTTGACCATTTGCTGAAGAATGGGGCAAACTTAATAAATTAAGAACAAAATTTGCTAAGTTGGCGAAAACAATAAATTTCATGCCTAAAACAGGAGAACAGAGACAAAAACAGTGGATTTACTTAAAAACAGTAGGTCTAGCAACACTGATCGTTCCCTCGAACGGTTGTCTGCGGTTGTCGCGTCGCCTGTCTCCGTAAATAAAGCGGTCTCCTTTGTCGTTCCTTCTGTTGTTCGTTTGTCGTCTGTCGCGCGTTCCGAAATGGTACCTTTAAGCTACCATTTCGCAAGAGGAGACCGAGACCAATTTCAAAACGCGAAGCGACAGCGAACGAGACCGAACACGGTCTCTTCACATGTGAACACATGTAATTATATGAAACACATTTATTTTCAGAAGAGGAGACGTACGAGAGCAGATTTAGTATGGCCTTACGCTGTCGTTGGTCGCCTGTCGCGCGTTCCCAAATGGAAGCTTAAAACGGACTCAATAGCACAAAAATCTGGTCCAAAAACGAACAAACATCCGCCACATTAAATTTATCAATAAATATAAATAACAATATTATACGAAATAAGAAAACGGCAAAATATCTGGGTCTAAATTTAGATGGTAAATTACAATGGAAGGAGCATGTAAGTATGAAAACTGAACAGCTAAAGATTAAATGAGGAGCTATCTTTCAAACGCGAGCTAGTCCATATTTTTTTAAATCAAGGTTTTGCGCGCGTTGGTATGTTTCATCTTAATGTTATTTAATTTTAAAATCAAAAACACAAATTTAGATTTTCCCACTAAGAAAAAACTAAATATTTTTAAGGTGAAGGGGGGAGAAAAAGTCCTTTATATCTCACAAGGAAAGTCCAATGTTTAATTATTCAACAAAAACATTGAGTGCGACCGGTTTCGAAGTAACATCACTTCATCTTCAGGCTCGCCTAGTGGAAAGGAGAATATGTGGTGTAAGGTGTGTTGATTTTGAGCCCACAATATATAAAATAGTAAAAAATAGAAAAACTCACCATACTCTCCATCCACTAGGGAATACTACAGACAAGTTTCATCAAAACGTGGGGGATGAAATAAATTGTAAAACAAAACAATGTTACAAGTTATGAAAGTTAAAAATATTTGAAAAACAAATATTAGTCGATATAAAACAGTTAAAAATTTTTAAAAATTCAAGACGATACAAAAACAAATTAATGTATGTAATTTGTTTTTGTATCGTCTTGAATTTTTAAAAATTTTTAACTGTTTTATATCGACTAATATTTGTTTTTCAAATATTTTTAACTTTCATAACTTGTAACATTGTTTTGTTTTACAATTTATTTCATCCCCCACGTTTTGATGAAACTTGTCTGTAGTATTCCCTAGTGGATGGAGAGTATGGTGAGTTTTTCTATTTTTTACTATTTTATATATTGTGGGCTCAAAATCAACACACCTTACACCACATATTCTCCTTTCCACTAGGCGAGCCTGAAGATGAAGTGATGTTACTTCGAAACCGGTCGCACTCAATGTTTTTGTTGAATAATTAAACATTGGACTTTCCTTGTGAGATATAAAGGACTTTTTCTCCCCCCTTCACCTTAAAATTACTTCAACTCACACATGGCTACCCCCCTTGTCAAAAACTAAATAGTTTATCTGGAACAGTTAGAGAACGACTTGTAATATTACATTTTTTTTATTAACCGACTTCAAAAAATGAGGAGGTTCTCAATTCGTCGCAATATTTTTTTTTATTTTTTTATTTTTTTTTTATGTATGTTCAGCGATAATTCTTTAACACGGTGTCCGATTTCCATTATTTTGTTTGTTAGAAAGGGGGTACTTGAGGAGTGGTCCCATATAAATTTGGTCAAAATCTGATAATTGGGTCCATGAGAAAATCCTCAAACTCTTCATTTTTTATGTATGTTTAGTGATAATAATTTACCACCTTGTCCTATTTATATGATTCTTTTTTTGTTAGTAAAGTAAGTGGGTACCTCAGGGGTGGCCCCATATAAATTTAGTTAAGATGTGGTGATGGCATCTGCACGTTAATTAACCTACAAACAAACTTGAATCTTAAAATTTGAGACATTTCTCGGGGTTTGAGACCAGCCAAGAAATCAACAAATTACTTAGCCGCTTTTGTCTTTTAGCAAAAATTATTTATTATAAAAAATAAATTATCTGTAAAATACATTTTCTCCGCTCAGATCTAATCACCAGTAATCACAGTCATGGAGTTTGAAAGCGAAGTGGGTATTTGTGGTATATGCTGCATTTCAGGGCCATTGCCCCTTATTATTAAATTTTTTTAATTTTCTTCACTTTTTGCTTACTGTTTTGACACACATACCAAAAATAAGAATCACAAAAATGCGAGGTTATGTTTTTTACTCTTTTTTGTTTGATTTGATTCAATGCTCTATTGTGAGGTCATCACTTCTCGGTCTCCCTGACGCTCACTCGATCGATGTATCAGTATTGGTAAGAGATGGAAACATAGGTAGTAGAGAACGACAAAGTAAGGAAAGCAGAAGTTCTTTGATGAAAAAGAAATTGTATGCTAAACCTAGAACTTCGAATACTTTTATTCCTTGCACTTTTCAAACAAAATCATTCCAATATGTCAAGTTTATTCCACTTGATGCTTTAGAATTCAGGAATAGAATCTACAGTGTACCAGACAAAATTCGCCAAGAAAGGATGGTTTCAAACTTCTTGATACTTGCAAAAGTGGTTCGTCGTAGGCAACGCCCTAACCGGACGAAAGCAGCAAAGCCTAGATTATTCAATGTGAAATACACTCTTCCACGTAGAAACGGCCAAACTATTTATGTCTGCAAGAATTTTTTTCTTCACATAGTTCAGATGAAATCTACATGCATGAACAGCCTTTGCAAAAAAGAAATTTTGGTTATGGACATCACAGAAAATAGGGATGGTGATAGAAAAAGCCACTTATCTGAGGCTAAGAAAAATTCTGTTAAACAATACATTGGTTCCCTGCCTGCTTATGAGAGCCACTATTCTAGAAACAAATCTAAGAGAGTGTACCTTAGATGTGATCTGAATATCAAGAAACTTCATAAAGCATGCAATTCCATGACTGAAAACGATTTGCGTGTATCTCTTGCAATGTTTCGGTGTGTTTTCAACAAGGACTTTAATATTGGATTCAGCAACTGACGTGTGTAGCTACTGTGAAAAGACTAGAAACCTCATAAAAAATGATATTAAGCCAAAGTTAACTTGTTAAAACAACTCAGAATTCATAAAATAAGAGCTCAAGCTTTTTATCAACTCACGAAAGAAGAACATAAAGAAGACATTATCTACTGCTTTAACATGCAACAAGTGCAGCAGTTAACCAAAACTCCTTTTCAAGAAGCATTTTAAGCTCTGCAACTTTCATTTTATAATCTATATATTACAGATATAAAAAATGCTCACCCAATCTTTTACACTTGGATTGAAGAGCAAGCTGAAGTTTCTTCAGCTCTCCTAAACTTCTTGGAAACATATGATTTTAATGGAAAAAAGGTATTAAAGCTCTTCTGTAATGAATGCGGAGGACAAAACAAAAACAACATTGTTATCCACACATTAATGTACTTTCTTTCAATCCACCAAGGTTCTATCAAAGAGATCATCATTACATTTCCTCTTCGAGGCCATAGTTTCCTCCCTGCCGACCGTGTTTTTTGGAGGTTAGAGAAACTTCTTCGGAAGAAAACTACTATGGTAATAAAAGAAGAATATTATGAGCCATTTAAAAAAGTTGGAGCCGTAAAGCAGTTGGGAACAGATTGGACACTGAAAGACACCAAAAGTATCTCTACAGATCTAAAGAACATAGAGAATATAGGCAATAAGAAAAGAATTTGCTTAAAAAGAATCACAACAAAGACTAGAAAAACTAATATTACAGTCAAAGCAAATGAAAATTTCAGATTCGAGCATGAATATGAAAAATACATTTCACTTCTGAGGAGGGGTCGTCAGTGTGGATCTGATTCTTTTGCATTGGATTGGGTCACATGATTTCGGACGCAAAGAAAAAAGGTATAAATGATTTACTGACAGCTTTACATGGCGAATGGAGAGAAATAGATAACCTAAACTTCTACAAAGACATTATTGATGATGAAAATTTGACTATTGTTAATAATAATGGTGATGATGATGATGATGATGATGATGTATGATTGTTGTGGGGTGCATACTTGACAAGATTGAAAAATTCAACATAGAAAATTAATTTGATTTCAATTTTAAAATGAAAAAATATCTAGTAATATTATTCTGTTCCAAATTTAAGTACAAACGCTCGGACACGTCGATTGGTATTTTTAGTTGCGCATTTTTTTAATAAAATCTTTTTATACAAGGTGTGTCATGTAACATTGGGCAATACCAACTTTCTTAATTTAAATGCAGCATCCTGTATATTTTTCAATTTTTAGATTCTTCAGAAGATTATAAACATATTTTAATGTACTATGTCCTATACCTAACCGTTTTGGAAATATTAAATGTTTTTCGATTTATTGCAAAAATTAATATTAACAAAATAAAATTGTTTGATTACAGAAATTCGCTACAACACACTCAATACTTATTTCTTATTTAGTTCTTCATAGTAGGTCTGTTCCATCACGCGCGAAAACAGTAATATTACCGTACAAATCATGCGCTGTATACAATTTTTGGGTAGAACGCACGATTTGTACGGTAATATTACGGTTTTCGCGCGTGTTGGAGCAAACCTAGTGAGAAAGTAAGCAAAAATCATGTCAGCGTTCCTTTTTACTGATATGAAAAAAAAATTATACTTAAATAGTTTTGTTTACCTTTGTTTAAAACGCCTGATCTTAGCAACTTGTTATCTGACTGCATGATAGTTGTCAGTGTTATAGGGATGTATTGGTTATAGTCGTTCAAATTTCCTTAACTGCATATCAGAAAAATGGTTCATTAACAGAAATGAACAAGATAACAATTCTGCAGATGATTGGTTATGAAGATAAAACACGGACACAAATGGAAGTTGCTCACCTATTTCATAAAAAAAATCCAAATTTGCCCCGTATATCCCAAGGAAGAATTAGTAAAGTAAAGTAAAGCAGTTTCGCGTTACATGTAAGGCAGATAAACAGCTGCCAATTCAATTACTAATGATACCAAATTGGATAGTATGCTTGAGTTTTAGGAAAACCCACATACTTCTAGTCGACAAGCAGTCTCAATGTTCGATATTAGCAATTTATCGATTATTCGAACATTAAAAGAAAATAAAATGCATCCCTATAAAATAATAGCAACTCAGGAGCTCATGGAAGACGATTTTGACAGGAGAACGCAATTTTGTGAACAAATGGTGGCAATGTTAGATAATATGGTGATCCAATTAGAACTTGTTTTGTTTTCTGATGAGTGTACCTTTACACTTCACGGTCATGCTAATCGTCAAAATTGCCGCTATTGGTCTAGAGAAAATCCTCAGTGGATGAGAGAAGAACATACGCATTACCCTGAAAAGGTTAATGTTTGGGCAGGAATTGTTGGCGATCATATCATAGGTCCTTTTTTCATTGATGGCAATTTGAATGGCGATAATTATTTAGCACTGCCCAAAATAATATCGTGCCAACTTTAACGAACTTACATCCCGATCCAGCAAACCCACAAGTTCCAGCGAATATAATATGGTTTCAGCAAGATGGAGCACCACCCCATTACCAAATCATTGTGCGGCAGTACTTCAATCGAGTATTTCCAAATTGATATATAAGGAGGCGAGGATCGATTGAATGGCCAGCACAATCCCCTGATCTGACATCATTAGTTATTTTTTTTATGGGAATATGTCAAAAGTATTGTATATAAAACTAAACCTCTCGACCTAGCTGACGTAAGAAGACGAATAACGCTTGCGATTAGATCGGTCACGCCTGAGATGTTGAGTGACTTTAGAATTTATTTTTATTTCAGATTAGGATGTTGCCAAGAGGTTCGCGGCGAGCATTTTGAGCATCTCCTACATCAAGATATTTTGAGTGTGTTGTAACGAATTTCTGTTATCAAATAATTTTACTTTATTAATGTTAATTTTTGCAATAAATCGTAAAACATTTAATATTTCCGTAACGGTTAGGTATAGGACATAGTACATACAATATGTCTAGAATTTTCTGAAGAATCCAAAGATTGAAAAATATACAGGGTGTTGCATTTAAAATAAGAAAGTTGATATTGGCCACTGTTACAAGACAAGACACACCCTGTATAAAAAGTTTTTGTTAAAAATACCAATCTACGTGTCCGAGCGTTTTTCGGAACTCGCCCCCATTTATTTATGACCGAATTTATTCCATTTAGCTGTTCCACACTGTATTTTAAAGAGCAAAGAAATATTTTAAAATAATTTTAATCTAATACCATTTATTTAATCAGAAGTATAAAGAAGTTCTAACATTGTTAATTATCGGTACTATGAGAAATTTACCTGATTCAGTTTGTTGAACCGCTATTTCTTATTATACCGATATAGTGATCATCCAGTAAAATTATATAACTTATTATAAAGGCAATAATTTATATTAAGGTTTCACCACCAAACTTTTGAATTCAAAGATTCAAAATAGTCAGTAAATTTTTTCAAAAATCTATTGATAAATCATGCCCTTTTATATTTTAGATTTTTAAATATTAGCTTTTACATCTTTATTGCTTATTATTTCACACAAATCCTGAGCAAACAGAAATTTTTTAATAGTCACACTCATCTACTAATTTATTCTTTAAAATCAAAAATTAAAGACATTTTCGAATAAAAGAAATCGATGATTTTTGTATTTTATTTAAATAATCATTATTTACTATTAGGTACTACTTAAATGCAACATGTTGCGCTAAACTTAACGGTGCGTATTTAATTTATTTATATTAAATTTAAACCCAGTAAAAATGATGCGATACTGACTCTCGTATGCTGCCTCTATGCAATACAAGTAGCTTCAAATATTGATATTATACTTACTTTTTACAGCCCAACTTGTCCCATTACCAAGCTCCCTCAAATACACCATCATATCACTTTTACACAAAGGATTTTCCAACTTTTCCAAACGATTCCACCATCTATGATGGTCGTAGAGCCTCGAAAACCACAAAATTTGCGAACCATTTTCGGCACCACTATCCTCCGCAAGAAATTCAATATCACTTTCGGCGACTGGAAATTGAATACCGTTCGACAAATACGACAAATCAGAAGAGTTATAAGTGTATTTCGAAGTGGTGGGCTCAGAATTGACCCGTGAGGAGAACCATATTAAAAACGCGCAAAGAATAACAAAGAACGTAATCATTTTTATTATATTTGAAATTTTTTAACGCATTTTTAATGTAAAAAAAAATATACAATTTGGTCTATGTGTGTGTATGACTGCGTTTATCACATCGTACGAAATAGACAACGTCTTAACTTTCGATTTTCAAACCATTGATAGACTGGTTGGTCTAAGTGCACTTAAGTCCCCACTGCATTGGGCAGTTGCATAGTGCAACATTATAGGCCGGTCAAATTTGTAGAGAAATAGCAATAGAATTGTTTTATTTAAATTAATCAATATAAAATCAATTGGCAAATAATAATAACAAACGTCCCTTCCACACACAAGCTCTTCTGGGGTTAAAATTCACTCGTAAATGAATTAACTTGTTTAATAAATATTTCCCGCAAAAAAAAGTAATACGGAATAACATTTAATGGTTTAATAAAGAATTACAAGTCTTTAAAAGTAATATAAAAAATATTTCTACAATACTCAATTGTACAGGATCTGAACAGTCCGATTGGAATTAAAAAAGGATTATAAAAAGACAATTAATAATGCAAAGTGATTAAGAATTTATTGATAAAGCCACTAATAAATCTAAAACAAATTTTAACTTTTAAATGTACATGGAAGTTGGAATTTTATGATATTCGTGGAGAAATTTTAAACTTTTTCCATCCTATCCTATTTAGATAATAGAAAACAAGTAGTTGTTCTTTCACCAGGCTATATTTTAAGTACACTTTCAATTATTGCTGGTGTGTCTCAAAGATCGATTGTTGGACAAATTTGTTTTCTAATTTTTATTAATGATCTGCCGGCGGATATTCCAGCCGAAATTATAAGATTTGCAGACGAGAATTTATAGGGAGAGGATTATTGTTACTAACTCTTAACTGTTCCGTCAATGAACTCTAGTTCTCCTAAATCACCAGCAGACATACAAACCCGTATCATTTGTATTTTTGCAAATTTAATTGTTTCATTTAATATCAGAACAGAAGTCCTGGAGAGGGTGCCACTCCACCACAGCCAACACGCGTACCGAGCAGGAAGATCTACAGAAACTGCCCTGGTACAGCTGAGATGAAATCCAGGATTCACTGACAAACACAAACAAACGGTCGTGTGTGCCTTCCTAGACATAGAAGGAGCTTTTGACAACACGCCTCACGAATCTGTAAAAAGAGCACTTGCATAAAGAGGAGTAGATAACATCACATCCAGATGGATGGCTGAGCTCTTATCTACGAGAACTGCAAAGACACAGATAGGGCAGGACACCATCTCCATCTGCACAACCAAAGGATGTCCATAAGGAGGAGTTCTATCCCCACTAATGTGGAGCCTAATCGTAGACGAACTTCTATGCAGATTGACTGACCTCGGCATACCCTGTCAAGGTTATGCCGACGACATAGTCATATTTGCTAGTGGCAAGTTTAGTAATATCCTGTGTGATATAGTCAAACGAGGACTAGAACATACCAAAAGATGGTGCCGTGAAGTGGGACTACAAAAACAACACTAGTAGCCTTTTCAAGGAAAAGAAAATTTAATCTCAAAACCGTTAAATTAGACAGGTTAGATATAGAATGGAAAAATGAAGTCAAATATCTAGGCCTAACCCTGGAACACACATGAGAAGGAAGTAGTAAATAAGGCCACAAAAGCCCTAATGGTATGCAGAAACATTGCAGGTAAACGATGGGGATGTAACCCAAACATACTGCAATAGTGAGACCAATCATCACTTACGGGACTATAGCCTGGAGTAACAGAACTAGTTTAGTTACTACGAGAGCTAATATCTCAAAAGTACAAAGACTAGCCTGTGTTTGCATTACTGGTGCAATGAGAACCTGTCCTACGGCCGCAATGGAGGTGATCTTAAACCTCACCCCTCTACATTTGATGATAGAGAATGTGGCAAAAAGGACACGGATATAGAATGATTAGGAAGGGAGTAATCAGACGAAAGTCTACTTGCTTCAGGACTAAAGATACCTGGGACATGCCCCAGGATGAAATGCAAAAGAAGTACAGTTTTGTAAAAAACTTCAAAACCACAGAGCCGGGCTGCAAGAAAGAATGGAGGCAATAATCCATCGCGCTTGCAACCGAAAGACGTGCTATTCAGTGGTATACGGACGGTTCCAAAACCATAGAAGGAACTGGAATAGGAGTGTATGGGCCGAGAACCAAGCACTCCGAAAGCTTGCGAAAATACCCAAGCATCTTCCAGGCGGAAATTCACGCCATCGAGAAGTGTATCCAGTTTAATATCGAGAGAAACTATCATAGACAAGAGATTATCATCATGTCCCATAGTCAAGCAGCCATCAAAGCGCTGAGTTCTTACGTAATCAGCTCAAAAATGGTCTGGAGATGCCTAGAACAATTAAATGAGCTAGGAGAGAAAAATAGAGTTACTCTCACTTGGGTCCCGGGACATAACGGGGTACAGGGTAACGAGATTGCAGATAGTCTTGGAAGGAAAGGGGATCAAACACCCTTTGTAGGACCTGAGCCGTTCTGCGGTATCAGCAGTAACATAATATTAGGAGAGATTAAAAAAGAATTGGGTAGTAGAAGAACCGATAATTGGAACAATCTCTTGGGGCTGAGACAGGCCAAGATACTTCTGGGCGAATTTAACCAAAAAATATCGGAAGCCTGCATCTGCCTGAGCAAGAACAGGCTACGTATTGTAACAGGGATCCTTACCGGGCATTGCCGACTAAAAGGACACCTTAGTAAACTGAGAGTAGTAGAGGATAGTGAGTGCAGATTCTGTGAGGAGGAGCACTGAATGTGTAGCACTCCAGAATCAAAGGGCACTATATCTAGGAGGATATCAAGTAGAAGAGGGAGACTTACCTAACTTGAAGCCACTTCAAATCCTACACTTCCTTGAGAAAATAGGATTGGAAGGGTCGCTATAGGCATTGAGACATTTCCTTAGTGCAGTGGCGACAGAAGGGGGCACAATAGATCTTTTAGGTCGCAGTGTATTAACACCCCATTCTCAACATAACATAACATCTAATCCCCTACAGAACAGAAACATCTAACTTATGTCGCTAATCTACGGGACTTTACAGATTCTGTAGACTCTGTAACTTTGATTCTTATCGGGAACACTGGCAACACAGATCTTCGAGCTAGGTTACTCACTGTAATCAAGGCACACCATTCTGAAAAAGAGGATAAGTCGTGCTGCAAGATCGGCATGTGACTATTAGATAAATAGTTGAAGATACTGGTCACTTATATTGTGTGGTATACTAGGTGTTTCCGAACTTGGCGTCCAAATTTGTAGGGGTGGTAGTTCGCATAATTTGAGAACGATTGGCAGATTTTATTTTTCTAAAAAAATTATAATAAACAAAATAGAGCCCTTATAAAAAAAAATCAAAGAGCAGGGCCTACCCTGAGCGCGTAGCGCAATAGTCCTCAAAAACAGATGCGATTTGCAATTTTGTCGATTCTAAGCGTAGCACGCGCGAATCGAAGCGATCCTATCGCTGTGCAGGACCGTACCGGTTTATAATTTTTAATTATTTTTATTTTAAATATTTTGGAAAAATTAAATCTGCGAATCGGTCTCAAATTATGCGAACTACCACCCCTACAAATTTGGACGCCAAGTTCAGAAACACCCTGTATAATATAATTACTGCCAAATTGAACAGGAAAAAATTGAATTGAAAAAAAGAGATGGGTAGGTGCCTCGAATGTTTGCTTGTGTGCATCTGCAAACTCAAAAAAGAGATGTGCGACATAAACAAGACAAAGAAAAATTTCTTGCAAGCTTAGTGACAATGGATGAGCCCTGGATCCATTACTGGACCAAAAAATAGAGCTTCACCAATGTCGAAAGAATTTAAGATACTACCTTCTGCAGGGAAGGTCATGCTAACCGTATTTCGGGATTCTGGAGGCGTAATTTTGGTAGATTTCCTGCAAAAGGGAGCCACAATTACATTTTTTTAATATTTTATAAAACTATATTCGTTTAATAATAGCAATACTCGTACAATTCTAATTAAAATGTTTTATTCATTAATTGTCACTCTTTAAAAATAATATATATGTAGTAAACAGGTAATGAATCATAAAAAGTAAAAATTAAAAACTGTCAATAGTTTATTTAGAAGAAGTTTGTTATTAAAATTGATATTGTAATGGTTGAATTTGCCTGCAAGTTTTCCTGCACTAATAGAGAAAGGTGAGATGTATTGGAACTAATTCCTTGGTCAAATAGAAGTTGTTGTATATATTTTATTTTTGCTTTTGTTTCATGTCTGTGACGTAATATTTCGGTATGGTTGGAATTTTAGTTAGATCATTATAGGAGATTTTCACAATATTAAATTAATTTCTTCTATTGCCTATGAATATATTTAACACGTATTATTTTATATAGCAGTGAAATAATTACGTACAGCATTGCGTTCTATAAAGTTCTTAATGCACATTTTCTTCATTCCCTAATATTATGAAAGTAGGTAATGTACAAAACCGCAGTTTGCAAAACCAATCCAGAAGTATTTACCAAGAAGTCGACAGACTTGTTGACATGTAATTAAAACAAATGCAAATTTTCCGCTTCAAAAAGAAAATGGTAATAATAATGATATACTTTGAGTTCGAATTACATATAAGATTTTTATTCTAGAATCACAATAAGTAAAAATATTTTTTTTTTTGACGAAACGGTAAAATACTCTTTCGTTAAAATAATTTGACCATCATTACATATGGAGCCACGGAATTTTCAAAAATGTTCTTATTTCCATTTTTTAACACTTTTCTTCATGCTTCCGATCACTACACGCCCGAAAATGTAAAAAAAAATATCTAGTCGTCTGTGCGTTGGCACGATTACTCTAGAATGGAATCTGCGCTCGACTTGAAGTTTTGACATTACTGTACAAAGTCTACACAAAAATATACCACATTGCTTGGACCAAAATAAACCGTTTAAAGTAAACAGTAAACAGTAGATACAAAGTTACTCAGTTTGGGCACTAAAATTACAATTTTAAAATCGTTTCATCATTATCTATTTAAAACGGCTTCTGAGATTTTGTTTAAATTTGGTACGTTAACAGAGTT